TGCGCACACATGGCAGCGGTTATTGTCGCAAGAAGGAGACATGGAAATGAAGCAAGGAGACGCAGAGAACGCATTTTTTCACTCCGTGTGAATATCTTTGGAATGAATGAGGAATTGATCATCAAAACATATCGTTTTGATGATCAATTCATTGCATTGCCATTTTGGAGCTGCAATTCCAGTGATTTGCTCCTCACAGAGCGTCAGCTGTACTTGTTCCTCAATGCTGGTCAGAGGCATCTCATCTACTGTGCCCCCTCCTCTTTTGTTCGCAGATGTTTTGTTATATGCCAGTTTTTCTTTGGTTCGCCTTCTAATATCCTGGTATCTTCTTTTTACTTCATCCACTGTTCGCAAGGTTTCACCAACAGCGTTTACTTTATTACAGATTTGTTCACATATAGCGTTCCTCTGTGTAACAGTCACACTTCTTTGCTGTAGCTCACTTAAATGTTTGTTGGCTTCATCCACCAATACCTCCATTTCCATGGGGTCGAATTTCCTTTTGCGCCTTCTGCTGTCCAAACTCGCCATGCCGCAAACCACAAAACGCGCAAAACCATCATTTAAATAGGGCGTATCCAACAGTTTTGCACCTGCCACCAGTTACGCAATCGCTCTTGTTAAATCACCCGCAAACCATGGTTCAGCCCCTCGCGCAAAATTCCAGTTTGCGAGCGCAAATTACCGCACGCAAAATTGGATCTTGATAAATCCGGCCCAGTGTGTTAATAATCTCTGTGCATTTCAAAGGCCAATTTACACTCAGTCATCAACATTCTTGCTCATGTCTTGAGTTGTTGCTTCAATATTTATTCTTGTTGGATTTTCCAAGGGTGCTATTTGTTTAACAAGTAAGCAGCATTAAGCTGCTACTTCTGTACTTAACAGTTGAGACAGGATTCTTTAACTTGCAAACTTTCCCAGCATCCTTTAAATGTTGTTGTGGTCATTAAATGCAGATAGAATGCAGATGCAGACCACATCCATGCTCTATTGTGGTAAGAGAAGAAAATTCAGTTAGTTTTAAGGATAATCTAATTGCATATAGAGGAGGTAATTAGGTAATTAGATTTAGGTGTGTGTAAGCAGAGATACTTATAAAAAGCACCAACATATGTACAGTAAATATCAACAATACACACATTTTTTTATATTTGCATATCATAGAAATGAACAAAATTTTAAACATATGCTCTCTCTCCTTTCTCCCTATAGTGTTGATGAAGTGATTGCAAGTTCTTAGTTCTAAGTTTTTAACTCTTACTGTAGGACAGGTAAAGGATATTTACTTTTTGACACAAACTGACCCAGATATTTATTTAACAAGAATCTAATTTAGAAATAAAATAATAAATCTTCCCTAAAAAACTAAAAAGTCAAACAAAAACTTTTGGACCTTAAATAGAAAGCTATTTTAAAGCTATTTTTTGGTTTAAATGTTCTTGTGTAAAAACTATACTACTCAAAAAAAATAAAATAAAGGAACACTTTGTAATCAGAGTATAGTATCAAGTTAATTAAACTTCTGGGATATTGATTTGGTCAGGTAAGTAGCAGAGGGGGTTGTTAATCAGTTTCAGCTGCTTTGTTAATGAAATTAACAACAGGTGCACTAGAAGGGCAACAATGAGACGACCATCAAACAGGAATGGTTTTACAGGAAGAGGCCACTGACATTTTTTCACTTTTTCACCAGTTTTGCATTTGGCTAGGGTCACTGTCAGTACTGTTAGCATGAGGCGCTACCTGGACCCTATAGAGGTTGCACAGGCGGTCCAACTCCTCCAGGATGGCACCTCAATACGTGCCATTGCCAGAAGGTTTGCTGTGTCTCCCAGCACAATCTCAAGAGCATTGAGGAGATTCCAGGAGACAGGCAGTTACTCCAGGAGAGCTGGACAGGGCCGTAGGAGGTCTGCAACCCATCAGCAGGACCGGTATCTGCTCCTTTGTGCAAGGAGGAGCAGGAGGACCACTGCCAGAGCCCTACAAAATGGCCTCCAGCAGGCCACTGCGTGTGAATGTCTCTGACCAAACAATCAGAAACAGACTTCACGAAGGTGGCCTCAGGGCCCGACGTCCTCTACTGGGCTCACTGCCCAGCATGGTGGAGCTTGATTGGCACTTGCCACAGAACACCGGAATTGGCAGGTCCGCCAATGGCGCCCTGTGCTTTTCACAGATGAGAGCCGGTTCACCCTGAGCACATGTGACAGACGTGAAAGGGTCTGGAGAAGCCGTGGTCCAGATCTGGGAGGAGATACCCCAGGACGCCATCCGTTGTCTCATTAGGAGCATGCCCATTGTCAGGCATGCATACATGCATGTGGGGGTCATACAAATTACTGAATACCATTTTGAGTTGCTGCAATGAAATTTCAGCAAAATGGACTAGCCTGACGCATAATTTTTGGGTGTCTTTGAATTCCGCCATCTGTATGTTGATAATTTTCATTTCCATAAAATGATGTGGCATCCTTTTGTTCCTAACACATCGCCCAGTCCATATCAGTGTAAATAAAAACATGTTTTTTTTTGCCCCATTTAGATTTTTTTTAACAGTGTACTGTCTAATGTTCATTGGGATTTACGGTAGCTGCATATAGTTCACTTTAAGCTCAGCTGTGACTTTTTTCTTCTTATTTGTTTTATTGGACATAGCTTTTCTTGGCTGTAAGTAACCATTTAAATGAACTTAAGAGCACAGAGACTGACAAAAAAGGGGTATAGGGGTTCTTCATAATAAGGATCTTAATGTAATGTTTATCATTGTATGTTCTCAATTTTTTATTGTTGTAGATATTGTTTTGTATTACACTCAAATATGATTTTTTTTGCAAAAAATTATATTTTTATTTTATGTGCTTTAAATTTAAAACAACTGTACAAAACTTTGTTGTGAATTTGGATCAGAACAACCCTCAAAGAAGAAGCTTTGTAGAACCTATGGCTCATCTGTGACCTAGATGTAATCCAGTTTCGTGCTAAAAACACCCCTGCACAGGTCGGTTTTCCAGGCCTGATACTCTCCTAAATTTTGCCCAGACCTGGTGGATTTATGTTTGGCTGTCAGAAACAGAACATTTCCCTCTCTTTTAGTACCTTTGCCGACTGCAGGGTGGTTGTCTTCTTTCAAGGTAATGCCTTCCTTATAGCTGATTTCTCCTCTCTCTCATGTTAGTACAAAACAAATCCACTTGTGGACCCCATCAATGTAAGTGTTGCCAGATCCACATAAGAATCAGACATGGTGTACTGACTGCACCAAAACTGTGCTGGGCTGGGATCATGATTCATGTAGCATCTTCACAAGGCCTCAAGCTTTTTTCTTTGAGGTTGGATTTCACATTTTGCACCAGAACACGTTTTCTGCGACACAGTCTTTCTCCCTTCTAAATGGTATTATGATTTGAATACCATAGTGTTTACATTGTTTATATTTTTTAACCGATAAATCGGTCACCTTCAAACATCTGAAGAATATAGCCAAGCACTAACCAGACCTGTGGTTCCACAATTCTATTTTCCTATATTCAGCCTTTATTCTGACTTTCCTTGATGTCAGACAAAGGAGGTCCAAAGTTCAAGGTCCAAGGTACATTCACAGGTGTGTCTTCATTAAGCTCAGTTATATTTTGAAAGAGACCTTCAGAAACCTACAAATGGGCGAACTCATCATTAAAGCTTTTCCAAGTGTTTTAAAGTCAAAGGAAACATCTTCAATTTGATCTGAATTTGAAGAAGGAAAACAAAATCTCAGTCTTGTTATTCTGATACTGAGCAATAATCTTTACTGCTTGCTTTACTACTTTACTGCTTGATGTTAGTGATTTAAAAGTCAGAAAGTGAGGACAAAAAGGTTGCATTTTCATAAATTGTATTGAAATGTCTAGATTTGGCTCTATATGAAAAATGTCTAATATAAGTAAGTAAAATCAGCCAAAGCATAACCTGGTGTAACACAGAGCGGTGGAAGATATGAATCTTAAGATTTAATTTTCTTAATTATTAGGTCTATACAATATTACAGAAATTACCTTAAATGTTAATTATATTTTAAAATAGTCTTTTAAATGCATTGAAGTAGAACTGAGAAGGGTTCATTTTCTAAGTTAGTCAGGATTTTATCCTATTTTCAATGGTTGCTATAAAGAGTAATATTTACCCTTGCATTGTAAGACAGTCCTTCAGATGTAGAGGGAAAGAAGGTCTAGTTAATGAAGGCAGAAACAGTTTAGCCAGCAGCATCTAATCAGGAAAGAAGATTGCAAAGTACAGACCGATAACAGGGAACTGGGTTGTGAAAAAAAAATAAATATGCTGACAGAATCCATTTTTGCTTCAAATTATTTCAAGGGAGGTTTTTTTCCACGTGAACATGATGCTAAACACAGCAATAATAAACAGTCATAAACACTGCAATGGTAGACATAAGAAGATATAGATTTTAATATCTTTATAAACATTTTTGTACTGATGTTTTTGATGATAATTTAGAGTTTATTCATGGTAAAGAAATAAAAGATCAATCGGCATACAGCAGAACAGGAAAAAAAAGGGATGAGGAACAATTAGACAGATCTAAAAATATAACAAGAAAAATAAAGAAGTCAACTGACAATTTAAAACTGAAAGCTCCTCCCAAAAGGAGGAACATAAAACCCTGTTATCATCATTGATATCACTGATACTGTTTTTTTCATATTAATACAGTAAATGATTATTATCAGCACTGAAAGATGTCCATTGTCTCCATTGTTACTGATACAGTTCACATTGTTCATACAAACTTTTTCTAAACTCATGACATATTTCAAAGGAGGCACAAAGGCTCCAGAAGTACAGCGAGAAGTCCTGCAAGTCTGCACTTCACTGCACCCTCTTCAAAAGCAATGTTTTGTTCTCAAGTCCTTGTATCCTTGGACAATTGCAGCGGTAAATAAAGAGGCATAACTCTGCATGAGTTATATCTGAGTTGCCAAGCTAATTTCATATTGTTCTTTTGATTGTTTTGACCAAAGAGTTTTTTTTTTAAGGTATACCCACATTTTTAATAAGTCCTGTTACATGTGTACCTTGAGGTTGAGTGTTCTAAGAAAAAACATGAAGCATTCCTCATTAAAGATGAGGAAGGGATGTCCTCACTGCGGAAGGAGAAGTTCAACACAACCACACTGTGAAACTGAGATAGTTCACCTCTGACCTTTAAGGCTCCTCTTGGCCCTGCAACAGGGATGTATCTATAGGTCCTTTTTGTGTCGTATTAAATCAAATGAACAACGTCTTATACAAGATATAGACAGACACCTCAATATTCACAGCTTGATTCCCACCCCCCCAGGAGACGAACATTTCCAAGCAGATGAAAATAGCAAATGGCAATCCTCGTCATCTTGAAATAATTAGCAGCTTAATCTTCAGTTGCACTGAACAAAAGAGATGTTAATGAAGATGGAAGAAAGAATTATGTGCAGAAAAACTGTGCAGGCAGAAGGTAGAGTAGATGGAAAAATAATATGTCAACGGAATAGAGTTTTATCTGCTAAAGCTTTATACACTCTGTGTGTTTAATGGCTGTTCATTTTATGGCCAATAAAATGTAAAGTCAAGAGATTTTTATTCCAAATCCTTAAGTTTGATATTGAGTTAAACAGCAGATTTGACTTAGGAATTAAAATTGAAAGACATAAAAAAAAGAAAAACAAGAGTCTCCAATTCAACTAATGGCTAATTCCACATCCGCCATTGATGCTGGTTTCTTTAAAATTCAACTAAAAGCTAAAGCTCTGTAGACTATTAAAAGTAATTTAGCCAAAGCTAACCTTGATTTTTTTGTCTTTTACAGTTGCCTTATTTTTATAGTTTTGAAACTCTAGCCTTGTAAAGAAGCAATCAAAAAATTAGAGACCAAGATGTATGGTAAAGAAATCATTGTTTGACTTTGGCAGTGCAAGCTAAGTGTGCATTCAATTTCCATTATTTTCTGTCAGATTTTTGTGCTCTGAATCTTCCTCTTATAGATGATGGATGCTTTTATGTCATCTTCAGTTTGAACAATAAAGCTCCCTACAACATTTACACATATAATCACATTCACACACATACATAAAAGACACAGGCCTTGTAGTGCAGGAGCAAGAGAAAGGTCTGAGGGCTGTGCTTTGCTTTTTCTGTTTGTTTGATTTGATAAACCCAATGAAGGTCAGCGGAGAATATGGTCGATATTTGTCACTATCAAGGCCAAAAAGAAGATTTGGATATGTAGTGAAGTCTTGGATGAGGAGGCCTTGTTGTTGGCTTGTTGAACCCCACTGGGGGGACGAACAGTGGTCCGATGAGAACACTTGTGCTTTCTCCGTGTGACTGTTCCATCTGGGGATGTGTGGTCACGTTTCCCCCCCTCTGTGAAATCAGGGGAGGAATCCTCCTTGTCTGACATCACCTCCTTTGAGTGGTGAACCTCATTGTCACCCTTCTTCTTGCTCACTCTGTTACCAGACTTTGTACAGTTTTTAGGTGGCCCCGGCCTAGAGGGATCCACAATGTGGGTCTGACCTCCAGAGCCCACTGCAACTCCACGGTTCATAGATGGATTGACGGTACCAGATAAATTGTTAGTCTGAGATCTGGACTCAGATACTGTTGAAGAGCAGCTGGAGAAGTCCTCCTTACGCAGTTCCTTCAAGTCTTTTCCAACCATATTGAGTGGGGCCTGGCAACCCACCGAAGAAGTAGAACCTCTGAAACGTTTCAACCATTCCCAGAGTGAGAGAGCTTTACAGTCACATGACCAGGGGTTGTCATTGAGGCGCAAGTATTCCAATGCAGGAAGCATGTCCAGGCACTGTCCAGACAACTCTATGAGCGTGTTGTTGAACAAGTATAGGGTTGTAAGGCGTTTCAGGTCATGAAATGCCAAACGGTCAACCCACTCTATTTGATTTTTGTGCAAAAGCAAACGGTCCAAAGCTCGAAGCCCTCTGAAGGTGTTCTGGTTAAGGCTCCACAGACGGTTTCCATGCAGAAACAGGTGGCTCAGGTTGTGGAGGTCCATAAATGTGTCATCCTGCAGGTATTTTAGGTGATTATCCTGGAAAGACATACAGAAGATGGATGGTTAATGTAAGTCTTGATGTTACTAAAGCTAACCTTATCTTTAGGTGGCACAAGGTCATCTAATTGTTGACATTTTAATAATGACAATAAACAGTATAATAAGTTTTACATAAAACACCTTTTCTTCTGTAATAATGTTATTTAAAAAAATATTTTCCTATGTATATCCACACTAGCAAAGGGGCGCAGCGGCGTAACAGCGGGCATAGAGGGACAACATGTCTGTGTTGTCTTGTCCATTGGTACATTATAAGTTATTTTAAACTGATCTTTTAAACATTGCTCCAAAAGAAAAGGACATCTAAGATTTCAGCGTTTAATAATACACAACATTAAGCTTGATGCCCAGTCAGTTTCAACCCAATTCACACCTTCCTGCATGTGACCAGACAGCTTCCCCATGGGGCAGGCTAACAGTGGCATTAACAACACACTGCTGTTAGGGAGTCTAATCTACATGTAAATTTAGATCTGCAAAACAGCACTTCCCTAACAGCTTTAAAGCTTAGAACCTCTCCCTCACTATCTTTGGACAGAAGAAAACCCTTCAGACGAAGGAAATGTTTCAGATCCCCAAACAGTTTCTTGGATGACTGTATATTTTCACCAGAAATTTCTGTAAAACTTAATTTAGTAAAAGCTGCCCAAAAGAGATTCATACTTTAAAAGGTGTTTAATACATAGCTTCTGATTATCAATACTTTTGATAACATTAGTAAGAACATACAAAATGTGTCTGTTCAGTTTAAAATAAAACAGTTTATCTTTAATTGCAGTCTGTTTAAATCCTTTGTACTCACCATGAGATGGTGTTTCTTCTAATACAAACTGTCCCTTAAAAAAGTAATATCACAAACGGTTGTAAAGACCCTGAAGCTTTAGCTAAGTCAAGCTCAGATTTTAAATACATCATTTGGACAAAAGGGACTGTACCTACAGGTATGTATTGCTCTTTTAAACATTTTTGCTTTTGATTTCCTTTAAAATGTTTAGATATTTAAGTATTTTTTATTATTATATTATTTAAATATATAGTCATGGAAAAAAATATTAGAATACTCTAAGTCTTCAGTTTCTGCAGAGGTATAATACCTGATGAAAGCAATTAACATGACATAAACAAAACAAAACAAAACAAAATGAAGGAAGATGGTCTAATTTTTTTTTTCTTTTTTGGTGACTGCAGAAATACCCTAGAGATTATATATATTTTATCACTGTACTGAATATGACATCTGGTGGAGCCTTTGAGTTTGGTTTTGAGGAGTTGAAGTTAGATGTAATTAGATCGTATCTTAGATCACTAGAATGGATAGAGCGTTAGCTTGCATTTTTACCATGAATGTACTATAGGAGCCAGTATTGAATTACTATTCAGACATGGAAATTATATACCATGTTTTCAGTGTTCTGGTGTCAAACCCTTCTGGTGACATTAATAAGTAGAGACAGCGCTTTACTGTCAGTTTTTAAATCTTGCAATTCAGCATACAGCATTCTGGGATCATTATTCAGTTCAGTGACTGCTAGCTTTCCACTGAGCTCAGGGTTTGCCTTTCAACAAACTAAACAAAACATGACATCTTTCTGCTGTAGGTAAAATAGCTATTATGATTTTTCTTAGCACCTTGCAAAAGTTGCTAATAACCAGATTGAACTGTAAGAGTTTTAAAGCCTAAACATCAGCATAATTAACATAGAAACAATATATTGCCGTGTGAATCTGACAGGACACCGAATTCCTCTAACTTCAGCTGTCATATGAGGATTATGATGCTTTTCTAAGTGTTATTACTTGTATTATTACTGCAGAAAGGGATGAACTTACACAGGATCGGACATTACTAAGAGCACAGATGGCATAGACAACTTGATACACAGACATCTGTCTCTCTGACAGATGGACGATCTGTCTGTCCGTCTGTCCAACAATTTATTACTTTATTAGCCCACTGTAATTATAAAATACCTAACAGGAAGGTTACAACCAAAAAAACAGTTCGTCTTGGATTTAGAACTACCAAAGTCTACTTAGTCCATGCATACTTAATCAGTTTAATTGTTTACTCCTTGCTAGGTCCTAAGGCCCAGATGCCTATAAGCTATGCAGTCATGCCCCCTACCCTTGCAATCAAGAACATCAATTGATAATTTCGTAGAATAGGAAGAAGCAGGGGCACTCAGAAACAGTTTACTCATGAACGGAGAAACCATTCAAAGATCTAACAAGAAGTTCCTGATAATTAATATAAATAATACTCTGCTGCTTATTCTCAACTCTCCAGAATTTTTTGAAAGAAACAAGAAATGAAACAATATAAAATATTTTGTACTGTTGGTCAAAAATATACCTGCAAGTAAAGGTACTGAAGATTTCGAAGGCCTTTGAAGATATTGTTTGGAAGTGAGTTGATACCACAGCGGTACAGGTGAAGCGCATTGAGCCGACTCAGCCCATGAAAGGTGTCTTCAGCCAAAGAGCGCAGGTGGCGGTTGTCTCCAAGGTCCAGCTCCTCCAGCAATGTAAACCCATGGAAGGTGGAGGGCTCTATATAGGTGATGTTGTTAGAGTAGATCCACAGTGTGACTGTGTTTGGACTGAAGTGTCCCCGTAGCAGGCGATGGATTTTGTTGTTCTGCAGGAAAATGCGTTCACTGTCTGTGGGAATACCATCAGGGACTGACAGGAAGTTGTGGGCCTGGCACGAGACGGTACTGGGTGCCGTGTAGCATATGCAGTGACGGGGGCAGGACCAGGAAAACTTTAGGCCGCAAAGAACCAACAGGAACTCCAGCCCACAGCCTGTAGAGAACACAGAGAGACAAATAAATCAGTGGTGTTGACCCAATTTTTTCTGCTATCACAAAACAAACAAAAATAAACAAGAGCATGTTAAATAGACAGATATTAAAAAACTGTACAGTATATGAATGTGGACTAACTAAATGTTTTTGCATTTTTAATATCATAAGTCAGATGGGTAAAACACTAATGTATGCAGTAAAATCATCAAATAAACATATTTTGTAAGCCCAATGTAAAGTGTTGGGCAGTTCTGAATGTTTCCTTGAGAATCTATATTTATATATATTTTTTTCTACTTTTTGTCCTTATTGACATGTTTAAAAAGCAGCTCTGAATTTACGGCAGTTTTGGGTACTGAAACCTGATCTTTGCTAAGGTTGAACAGTTTCTGGCATAGTCTAAAAAAACCACACGCTCCCTGTCAGTTTTATCAAAGCTTTTAAGTTCAGTTTAACAAGATAGTTCAAATTTTAAATGCTTTTAAGAGCTTGTTTTAGTTTCAGTTTTAAAACTTATATTCTTCTCTCTGTTCTTGTGTTTCAGAGTTAATAAGACCTATTTGGTGAAACAAGCTCTAAGCCTTGAGGGCATCCTCACCAACTGCTTCACATAAAAAATGTTTTTTTTACTCTATATTAGCTATCAAGTTTTTATCAACAAAGACTGGGGTAGGTAAAGCCTGAGGGTTATGTGTCAAAACCATAGTGTACCACAAATTATACTGCAAAGTATATACATACTATGGTGCAACGTGATGCACCATACTATGTACAAAAAGGAAGGCTGAGACAAAAAGTCGAAAAGAAATTAAATAAAAATGATAGCTTTTATTTTAAAGTCGGATGTCGCAATCCAAAACTACAACTTTGAAATAATTGAAATCTGTTAATTATAAATATTTAACAATATAAGCGGAAGAATGCTGGGGAAATGTTTTTAAATTTAAATAAATTACTATAACTTCTAGAACTTGTTTCCTTTTCAAAGCAAAAATTCAGTTCTAGGTCACATATTCCCATTTTCATTAAAAAAAATGTCATTCTTGACCAGATGACAAAATGTCAAACAACAATAAATTTCACATTTTTTCTTTCTGTCAAAAAACACACAAAGTTCACATTTCCAGCAAGATGTTAAGCTAAAAATCAAGGATTAAAAAATATAGCAAAATCTGTAACGGGAAACGTTTCTACTCACTATATAATCTAATTTCCACATATAAGATACATGCCTACATGTTACTGTATTACCAAATATAGAAGTTCTAATGTAAAACACATTCATTCACAGTTACAATATATAATTTCTATGTGTGAAACATTTCAGAATTTATTTGCCTATCACACCTTTAATAGCATGTATTTTTAGTCAACATATTAGTCTATATTTATGAGAAATCATAATCTCCTTTTTTTTTTTACAATTGTTTTTGAGAAATACATTTTGATTGACGAACTGTAAGCTCTAGTAAAAATCATTTTTGTGGCCCATCTTGACTCATTTCTCATTTAAACAGTTTTATCAAAGGTCACTATGGAAGGATTATCTGTGCTGTAGTTATAGATGCTTCTTTGTACAGTTTGGATTGCCTCAATTCAGTGTTATCCTAGGGTTATCATGTGGGACAAGGGTGGCTTAGCTGAAAGACAAGTCATTTAGTAATTGATTCTAGCGTCGCCCTCCAAGCTGTCCTGGGGCATGGCACTAAATTACCTACCGATAAATGTAAGAATGCGAGGGCATGTATGAGTGCTGTTTGGTAGATTTGTATTGTTAAAGTGCTGGAAGGGATACTGTAGACATAGAACAAGAAAACAAAAACCATAACAACAGTACACTACATATACGTTTTAAATAGAGTATATATGTGGTGAAAAGAAAAGGTAAATCATAAAAACTGGACAGAAAACGAACAGTTTAGATCTGCTTTCATAATCGAGTATCATTGTCTAAATAATATAATCAGCTCATAGCACAGAGTGTGGTACACATATGGACCTTTTTGCTCACGTTTTACTAAACTAATCCCCTGAATGTACTGAAGCCAACCAAAAGCAATGTCTAAGGAGACAACAAACATGAACACCTGCTTCTGTGAGTCACATGACGCCTCACTGGTTCTGATTGGATTCCTGCAGCAACCACTCCTGTCTCATTTGAAACATATGCAGCCCTTCCAGAAATTACCCTTTCCGATTTTCTGCCACTATTGGGAGGCTCAGATTTGTTCCTTCTGAGTCTGCTGGTGCTCCTTTCCATCAAGGAAAGGCTATGATGACTTAGTTTGTGTTGTTAAATGAGGTGTGGAATGCTTATTTTAAATTGTAGTCAGCTGCTCTGAGTCGCTTTCTGTTTAGTGACAAAATTCTTGCAGATTCTGGAGAGGGGACTTCTACATAGTCTCATCCAAGATGAGCCCAACTCACAGCCCATCATGAAGGTTTCATCTGATAAAGCCCCTGGCTGCCTTGTACTCAATTCATTATTCAAAGCAATGTGGAGCCTGGATACACTGTCGCCAATCGATATGCCTCTGTTGCCTTTTAACCCACCCTATAATCCCAGGTCTTTTATGCTGCCAATTCAGAAGCAGGCTTTTCCTCGTGAGACAAGCCTATTTAGCTGAATGCTTTTTTTTTGCCAAGCTGTGGCTAAGCTGTGACATTCAGTGTGTGACTCCACTGACCTTTAGCAGTAATTCTCTGTGTCTCGCTGCAGAGTTAGAGCACAGAGAGCTTGCATGTCACCTGAACAGGAACATGCTCTCATGGGCACAAATCTAATCCTATTTGTTAAGCTTTGCCACTAGGCAACAATGGAAAATGCACACAACCCCCCAAACCAAAAATGTGCTCAATAAACGAGGTTATTTTTCATGGTTAAATATAATCAAAAAGGTTGAATTTGAGTGTGTTCCTGTTTGCCAAGGGGAGGAAATGCAGCTGTGGTAACCCTGATGCATCCTGAGAGAACCCTACCTTTAAATTTAGCGAACACCAGGACACGGGGCCCTCTGTAGTGCAAGAGCTATGTTCAGATTTGTCACACTTTCAAGCCCTAACAAAAATGCCATTTCACTATTTTATCACTCTGTGGGTGTTTTCCTCTTTACTTGCCATTTTCATGAAGACATATCAAGCACGGTACCTGCTGACAGAGTAAATTGGTGAAAATATTTTTTTTCCATTTCTCTTGGGAAGTAAGGGTTTGCTTTATTTATCAGACAAATAAGACAAGACACAGTAAATTCCTCCTGCCGCACTGTGAGGGAAATTTGCATTAAGCAGCGTACACCTGGTATTTGAAATGTGGCTTCGTAATTGTTCATTTTGGTCTCAGTTCACACTTTTTTGGGATACGAAAAGTCATGATGGAAGGATTTAAAACGGATCTTTAAAAAAAAGGCACAAATCAAACCTAAGCTGCCTTTTCCTTTTGTATTTGTTGTGAGATTAGATGACTTATTTTAATCACCTGTCATGGTAGGAATTTATCTAAGAAAAAAAAATTATCTTTTCACTCTAGTAATTATTTTTTGAGGCGTTAAACTTTTTCATTAAACCCTTCTCTCATGCATGTCCTCAATAGGAATTATGTAGCAGATCTCGAACAGAGGAATTATCTGAGCAAGCAAGAGACAGAAAGTGATAAGCCTGACACACTGGGAGAGCACAGGGGAATGAGAATGTAGATATTGTCGAGATAGTGGGACTATTTAAATCAGTGATCTGCTAATCGTGTTAGAACCATGATGCACCTCCTCTATCCTCACTCACCTCAGCCTGTGAAACAAATAAAACAACTTATTCCTTCAATATAAAACGACATCTATTTACGATTTCCTTCAGCCACTGCACCTTGACAGCAGATATGATTTCACAAGATTTTATGAAATAATAGAATTGAAGTGAAAAGAAGATTACTGTCTTTTAACATCTTTAAACAATAATTACACTGCAAGAAAGGTAAATCTAAATAAGTCATTTTTTTCTTAAAATAATTTCATCTAGTCTAAATTGAGGAGGCAAGTGAGACACTTTGCCAATGGAACAAGACAACTTACATGTAAAATAAGAAAAAAATATTGCATTGTCTTATTTCAAGTGCATATTATCTAATTATATTATTTTAAGGGTAAAAATACAAATTTTATTGGCAAATCATCATATTTACTTACTCAAATTAAGGATAAATTGGTCTAAATTTAGTACATTTCTACTAATTTCCAGATCGTTTTTGCAGTGTATTTGCTATGCATTTGTATTCAGCACCTCATTCTTTCAATCCCCTAAATGATTTGCTTTTAGAGGCCATCTAATTAAAACAATAACACTGCACCTCCACCTGAACTTAAAAAACACACTTTGAAAATCTCATGGCTGCCACCTCAGGACATGGTAGATAGAGTGCACCTGTGTATAATTTAATCTTAATACAAAAACAGCTGTTCCGTGAAGGTCTCAGTGGTTTGTTAGAGAACACCTATGAATAAAAAGCATCCTTAAAGGGTAAAGCAGATGAATAAAGCTGAAAACAAGGCATTCCTAGAAAAATTATTTAAGGAGGCAGTAAAAAGATTGGGACAAGTGTTCACCTTTCAGTGTGATGAAAATTTTAACATACAGCATATTCATGTGTTTATGTCCAGGCCTAAATCCACTTTAAATTCCATGATAAATAAGAAAACATGAGCTAACAAATGCTCATAAGCTGGTTGATGTAATTACAGCAAAGTATCATGTAAATAGGCTTAACACAAATACCTGCTGCACCTTTCAGATTTTAATTTGTGAAACATAAAAGTAAAGGAAAGAAACTCCCTGTTAAAAGGGAGTTTTTCCTCTCTACTGTTGCTGCTAGCATGCTTGGTGTGAGGGATTGCCTTTGAGTACATGCAGATTCCAAATGCAGATGTAAACATAAATGCTTGCATGCAATCACACAACAGGCCACCTCACACATTACACACGTGGGTTTTCGTCTGGATGGCCCGCACT